AGGCGGAGCTTGCAGTGAGCTGAGATCCGGCCACAGCACTCCAGACTGGGCGACAGAGCAAGACTCTGTCTCAAAAAATAAATAAATAAATAAATAAATAAAACAAATACCAGGGCCACTTGGCGGAGTTGTTTGTGACTTTTTGTATGCAAAACTTGTTTGGGTTTTTTTTTTTTCCCTCCTACTTAAGGAGTCACTTTCTTCTTTCCTTTTAGATTTCTTCCTTAAACTTTCCCCCAGTGCTAGGTAGGGACACTATGAACACACACTGTGAACACACATTATGCACATTTACTCATTGACTATTTGTGGAAAGCTTTCTTTGTATTAGGCACTGGGTAGGGAAAGGAGATGAGCTACAATGGTGAATAAGAAAGGTCCCTGTGCTGCTGCAACTCACAGTCTAGTGGGAGAAACAGAAAATACCTACCTACATAGACAACCAAATTCGTGACAGTGTCCTGAAGGAAACACATAGGCTGACACAGAATAATGGGCACCTATTTAGAACAGATTGGAGATAGCAAGAGTGGAAGTAGGCATATCCCCTAAGGAGGCTATTGTAGGATGATTGCAGAGGATGTGGAAGCTTGGGAAAATAGAGATAGACTTGAGATATGCATGGGACATATAAATAGTAGGACTGTTTGATTAATTGGATTCCGAATCTATCAGTAAAGAAGAGTAAAACACCCAGAACTCCTGATCCTGATCACTTGGAGTTTGTTTGCTTGGTAATGTGTTTGTTACTTTCCCAGAACACTAAGCTAATAGATAAGAACTGTCATATCCTGTCACAGCCATCACAGCCAACTGAAACAAAGCATGGACTCACCAGCACTCAGTCAATGCAACAGTCCATCACCATTTTAATCAACAATTTTTGATTTTTTCACTCATTATTATACTCTCATCCTTTTGACATTCAACATGTATTTATTTGTTTACATATTGTGTGCCAAGTTATGAGAGTTAAGTGATCACTGGATTGACATAGTGGGAACGTTTTAATTCATCAAGCTATTCAAAACAATTCTTCCATATGAGCCTAAGATCCCAGAGCCTAACTGCTATAATAGGCTGCTTCTCAAATAATATAAGGAAGAAAGGGAGTGTTGTCACAACAGAGGAAAAAGTCACTGAAGGGTAAGGAGACGAATGCTGATGACGGAACCTGTCATTTGGGTTGAGGTATAGTTATCCATTCAGTCAATAAATATTTTAGCAAATGATTAAAGAAAAATACATTTGGCAGAAGCATCAGCTTTGTTCCTATGGGCTTGGAATTGGCTAAATATGAGTGAATAATACATATATATGTTTACCATAATCCAACGAAAATGTATCAAGCACCACAGCTGTGGCAAGAACCAGCACAGTCCCTTTGAAGATGTGGGATTCCACTGATGGGTATGGTTCCTCTTTCTACTTCTCAACTCTGATGAAGAAATAAGAAGGTCACAGGCCAGATTGCCTCAACAATAATGAAAGGCTACTCTTGGAACTGAGAAATAAGAAATCTTTTCTTTGTTTTATTTATTTCTTCCTGTGCACTTTACTATAACTAACTTCTACTTGTAGAAAGGTGACAATGTCTTTCTATAACATGATGTGTTACTGTAACTTAAGTAAAAATGTTCTCATTGTAAGGTTAAAAAGGAAATAGTATTCTGTCTAGATACAGTCCTTAGAGGGGATGGTTTAGGGCAAAGGTCATGGTTCTGATTTTCATAAGATGCATTAATCATAAAAGTAAGTATTCTGTCTCTCTGTCTCTCTCTGTCACACACACACACACACACACACACACACATAAACACACACCACTGAGAGCAACCAGATCTGGTTAATATCTCACATGTTCATGTGAAGAGACCACCAAACAGGCTTTGTGTGAGCAACAAGGCTGTTTATTTCACCAGGGTGCAGGCAGGCTGAGTCTGAAAAGAGAGTCAGCAAAGGGTGGTGGATTATCATTAGTTCTTATAGGTTTTGGGTGGTGGAAATAGGTTTTTAATAGGTATCATTAGTTCTTATAGGTTTCGGTGGAGTTAGGAGCAGTGTTTTCTGGGCAGGGGGTGGATCTCACAAAGTACATTCTCAAGGATGGGGAGAAATACAAGGAACCTTCTTAAGGATGGGGGAGATTACAAAGTACATTGATCGGTTGGGGTGGGGCAGAAACAAATTACAATGGTGGAATGTCATCAGTTAAGACTATTTTCACTTCTTTTGTGGATCTTCAGTTGCTTCAGGCCATCTGGATGTATACGTGCAGGTCACAGGGGATATGATGGCTTAGCTTGGGCTCAGAGGCCTGACATTCCTGTCTTCTCATATTAGTAAGAAAAATAACATAACATAGTGTTGAAGTGTTGGGGCAGCAAAAATTTTGGGGGGTGGTATGGAGAGACAATGGGCGATGTTTCTCAGGGCTGCTTCGAGTGGGATTAGGGGTGGCCTGGGACCTACAGTGGGAGAGGTTCCACTGAAGAAAGGTTTTGGGGTGAGGGGTGATACTGTGGGGCTGTTAGAAGGAGCATTTGTCGTATAGAATGATTGTTGGTGGCCTGGATGCAGTTTTACATGAATTGAGAAACTAAATGAAAGACATAAGGTCCGAATTAAGAGAAGTGGGGAAAGGATTTAGGATCTATGAGGTCAGCTAGGTTTCCTTTTGTGAGTTATATAATGGTTTCGTTAGGATGGCAAAACCAGGTATCCAAAGGTGAAAGTACCCAACCATGCCTAGGAAGGAAAGGAGTTGTTGTTTTGTAGAAGGGGTTGGGGTTTTAGAGATCAGTCAGACATGATCCGGCAGGGAGAGCACATGTGTTTTCATTAAGAATTATGTCAAGATAGGAAACAGATGAGGAAGAAATTTGGGCTTGACTGAAGTAATGGGGGCTGTCTGTGAAACCTTGCGGCAGTACAGCCCAGGTAATTTGCTGAGCCTGATGGGTGTCACGGTCAGTCCAAGTGAAAGCAAAGAGAGGCTGGGATGAAGGGTACAAAGGAAGAGCAAAGAAAGCATGAGATCCAGAACAGAATAATGGGTTATGGAGGGAGGTATTGAGGATAGAAGAGTGTGGGGAAAGGAAAGAGAGATCAGACTGTTACTGTGTCTATATAGAAAGAAGTAGACATAAGAGACTCCATTTTGTTCTGTATTTGAGATGCTGTTAATCTGTGACCCTACCCCCAACCCTGTCCTTGCAAGAGACATGTGCTGTGGTGACTCAAGGTTTAAAGGATTTGGGGCTGTGCAGGGTGTGCTTTGTTAAACAAGTGCCTGAAGGCAGTATCCTTGTGAAAAGTCATCACCATTCTGTTAATCTCAAGTACCCAGGGACACATACACTGTGGAAGGTCACAGGGACCTCTGCCTAGGAAAGCTAGGTATTGTCCAAGGTTTCTCCCCATGTGATACTCTGAAATATGGCCTCGTGGGAAGGGAAAGATCTGATCGTCCCCCAGCCTGACACCCGTGAAGGGTCTGTGCTGAGGAGGATTAGTAAAAGAGGAAAGAAGGCCTCTTGGCAGTTGAGATAGAGAAAAGCATCTGTCTCCTGCCTGTCCCTGGGCAATGGAACATCTCGATGTAAAACCCAATTGTACGTTCTATTTACTGAGATGGGAGAAAACCGACTTAGGGCTGAAGGTGGGACGTGCTAGCAGCAATGCTGCTCTTTATGCTCTAAAAAGGTTCATGGAGATGTTTGCAAATGCATATCAAGGCACAGCACTTTTCCTTGAACTTATGTCACAGAGATCTTTATTCATATGTCTTACTGCTGACCTTCTCCCTACGATGATCCTATTATCCTGCCACTTCCCTTTTCAAAGATGATAAAGATAATGATCAATAAATACTGAGGGAACTCAGAGACTGGTGCTGGCCCGGGTCCTCTGTATGCTGAGCACTGGTCCCCCGGGCCCACTTTTTCTTTCTCTATACTTTGTCTCTGTGTCTCACTTCTTTTCTCAAGTCTCTTATTCCACCTAATGAGAAACGCCCACAGGTGTGGAGGGGCAGGCCACCCCTTCAGGAGAGTACATGGCTTTGGCACCACGGAGTGGATAGGCAAGACAGTTTGGTTGATAAGGCGCAGATACTGTAAGGCTTTGTCCAGCTTTTGGACAGGTAAAATGGCAGAATTGTAGGGAGAGTTTATAGGCTTTAAAAGGCCATGCAGTAACATGTGAGTGATAACAGGCTTTAATCCTTTTAAAGCATGCTGTGGGATGGGATATTGGCATTGAGCAGGGTAAGAGTGATTAGGTTTTTTTTTTTGAGATGGAGTCTCGCTCTGTCGCCCAGGCTGGAGTGCAGTGGCCGGATCTCGGCTCACTGTAAGCTCTGCTTCCTGGGTTTACGCCATTCTCCTGCCTCAGCCTCCTGAGTAGCTGGGACTACAGTCGCCCACCACCTCGCCCGGCTAGTTTTTTTTGTATTTTTTAGTAGAGACGGGGTTTCACCATGTTAGCCAGGATGGTCTCGATCTCCTGACCTCGTGGTCCACCCGTCTCGGCCTCCCAAAGTGCTGGGATTACAGGTTTGAGCCACCGCGCCGGGCCTGGGTGATTAGGTTTTACTGGGATGGTAAGGGGTGCACCACCCATCGCCAAGGAGGGAGTAGAGGTGTCCTATGCTTGTGGATTAAGGCAGGGAAATACAAGGGGAGGATGCGAAGGAGGCTTTGAACTGGGGGAAAAGGAGGCACTGAGGTGTGGCTGTAGCCCAGGAATAGTCAGGGAAGCAGATAATTTAGTTAAAATGTCTTGACCTAATAAGGGAGCTGGGCAGGTGGGGATAACTAAAAAGAAGTGCAGAAAAGAATGTTGTCCAAGTTGGCATCAGAGTTGGGGAGTTTTAAGAGGTTTAGCAGCCTGGCCATCAATACCCACAACAGTTATGGAGGCAAAGGAAACAGGCCCTTGAAAAGAAGGTAATGTGGAGTGGGTAGCCTCTGTATGGATTAAACACGGGACAGACTTACCCTCCACTGTAAGAGTTACCCGAAGCTCGGCATCCGTGATGGTCCAGGGAGCTTCCGAGGCGATCAGGCAGTCTTCAGCTGCTAAGCAGAGGAGATCTGGGAAGGAGTCAGCCAAGGAACGTTCGGTTTGGGCTCCGGGGACTTTAGGAGCGGCGGCGATGTGAGTTGGACAGTCCGACCTCCAGTGGGGGCCTGCACAGACAGGGCACGGCTTAGGAGGAATCCCGGGCTGCGGGCATTCTGAGGCCCAGTGGCCAGGCTTTTGGCATTTGAAGCAAGGTCCACGGGGATGTTTTGAACGAGCCCCTGGGAGCTGTGGCTTAGATGTCCTGAAGCTCTTGTATGCTAGAGACGTGGTTGTGGATTGTCTTACAGCGGAAGCAAGTAGCTATAACTCAGAAATGCGTTGCTGTCTGGCTACCACCTCTCTATTATTGTACACCTTGAAGGCAAAATTGATTAATTTCTGTTGTGGGGTATGAGGGCCGGATTCCAATTTTTGAAGCTTTTTTCTAATGTCAGGAGCTGACTGGGTGATAAAATGCATATTAAGAATAAGGCGGCCTCCTGGCCCCGCTGGGTCTAGGGCGGTAAAACGTCTAAGGGTTGCTGCTAAGCGGGTCATGAACTGGGCTGAGTTTTCGTCTTTACCTTGTGTAGTTTCTTTAAGTTTGTCGTAATTAACAGCTTTGTAAGCTGCCTTTTTAACCCCTTCAACTAGGCAGGAAACCATGTAATCTGGCCTAGCTATACCTGGGGAATCTGCCTGATAGTTCCTTTGGGGATCTTCTCGGAGAACTGCTCTAATGCCCTCCTGGAGGTCTGGCTCATGAAGCCAGTGGTTATCAGTGTGAGATTGGGCTAGAGAAAAAACTCATTCCCGTTCATCTGGGGAAAGGGTAGAAGTCAGGATGACATTTAAGTCACTCCAGGTTAAATTGTAGGACAATTTGATATCAGAATTCCTGTATATATTTAGTGGGGTCTGATGAGAAAGAGCCTAAAGGCTGGCTGATTTGGGAGAGGTCTGATAGAGAAAAAGGCACATGGACCCTGAATGTGCCATCAGTTCCAGCCACCTCTCTAAAAGGAAATTGTCGGGCAGGTGGAGGAGGACTAGTCGTGGAACGAAACTGTAAGCCAGACCGGGTGTGAGGAGCGGAGGTGATAGAAGGATTATAGGGTGGGGCAGCAGAGGCTGAGGAAGAATTGGGACCTGGCTTGGCCTGGTGAGGAGCAGCCTGGGGAGAAGGGGAGAGGTCGGATGAGTCTGGAGAAAAGAAGGATTCAAAGGACTCAGAGCTTGGGGTGGAGACTGAAGGAACAGACAGGAGAGAAAGCAGAAAGATTTGGGACAAATCACACTGGGAGCAGAGACTAGGGAGGGACCAATATGTGAAAGAAGGCCTGGACACCAGGCATCTCAGACCATTTGCCCATTTTTCGACAAAAATTATCTAGGTCTCATAGGATGGAGAAATCAAAAGTGCTGTTTTCTGGCCATTTAGAGCCATTGACAAGTTTGTATTAGGGCCAAGCGGTGTTGTAGAAGAAAATAAGACGCTTAGGTTTTAGGTCAGGCGAGAGTTGAAGAGGTTTTAAGTTCTTGAGAACGCAGGCTGAGGGAGAAGAAAGAGGAATGGAGGGTGGAAGGTTGCCCATGGTGAAGGAGGCAAGTTTAAAGAGAAGGGTAGAGACAGGGAGAAGGGAGGTGGGGAGCAGCCCTGGGCTGCAATGTGGGTGAGCAGCCAAAGCAGGCGTCCCCGCAATTGACTTGCCACCAAGGGAATGTGGGTGAATGACCAAGGCAGGCGTCCCCGCGGTGGTCAGACACCAATGCAGTATGGGTGAACAATCAGGAAGGCGTCCCTGCAATGATTAAACACCAAGGGAAGGCTGTCTTCCCGAGTCTGTGACCGGTGCCGGAGTTTTGGGTCCGAGGATAAAATGTGTCTCCTTTGTCTCTACTAGAGAGGAAAAAGAACTGGAATTGGAAGGACAGGCAGATTGAAGTGTAGTGAGAGAGGAAGATTGAAGGGTAGTGAGAGAGGCTGGAGAAGAGATTGAAAAGACCACTTACCCGATTTGAAATTAGTGAGATGTTCCTTGGGTTGGTTGGTTTGAGGACCTGGCGTCATAGGTGGATCTCTTCATGGAGCGAAGACAGGGAACTGGTCCCCAGAAGGAGTCCCTCTGACCCGGGTCTTTGGCACCAAATGTCTCACGCATCCGTGTGAAGAGACCACCAAACAGGTTCTGTGTGAGCAACAAGGCTGTTTATTTCACCTTGCTTTAGCTGGCAAACATGGGTAAATCTTTAATTATTTATTTAATGATGGGTACATCTTTAAATACATGGATAAATCTCTGTTCGAGGCTGTCAGCTCTGAAGGCTGTGAGACCCCTGATTTCCCACTCCACACCTCTATATTTCTGTGTGTGTGTCTTTAATGCCTCTAGCACTGCTGGGTTAGGGTCTCCCCGACCCAGCTGGTCTTGGCACATAGAAGTTCAAGTGTTGTCTTTCCATTCGTTAATTTATGTTAATATGTGATGTTTTCTCTATGTGCTTCCCAAATTGCTCCTTTTGTGTGTGTGTTTGTTTTTTGAGACAGAGTCTTGCTGTTGGTCCCCTAAGGGGATGTTTCATCCCTACCCTTCTGCACCCCCTCATTATTATTTCAAAGAAAAAGAGTAGCCTGATCCTCCATATCTTTCTTTTCTGGAGGACACTGGGCAAAAAGTAGTTGCCCCAGTGAGTGTTCAAGCAGAGCCTTGAGCGACCGCTCTCAGTTCTATTCAGGCAAGAAATCAGCAAGCTAGATGACAAGGTGATTTAGAGGCTCAGCAGTTCCCTGTTAGAATACACCCGCCTGATCAACAGGGAAATACTATAGCTACATTTGAGCCTTTTCCTTTTAAATTCAGGAAACGCCATGTGGGGCCCATCTTAGGCCCTGTTCCAAATCGGGGCATTTCCAGCTCAGGCCATTCCCTCACCCCTGTACAATGTCTGTCCCCTGCCACAGCCAGTAGTGCTGCAGTAGATTTATGCTGCACAAAAGCTGTCAGCCTTCTGCCTGGGGAACCCCCGCAAAAGGTCCCAAGAGGAGTCTGTGGACCCTTGCCAGCAGGGACGACAAGATTACTTCTAGGAAGGTCTACTTTAAATTTAAAAGGGGTACAAATACATAGAGGAGTCATTGATTCATATTACAATGGGGAAATTCAAATTGTTATATCTACTTCTGTTCCCTGGAAAGCAGAGCCAGGAGAGCACATAGCACAGCTCCTGATTGTGCCGTATGTGGAAATGGGGAAAAGTAAAATTAAATGAACAGGAGGATTTGGAAGCACAAATAAACAAGGCAAAGCAGCTTATTGGGTGAATCAAATTACTGATAAATGTCCTACCTGTGAAATAACTATTCAGGGAAAGAAATTTAAAGGTTTGGTAGATACAATCATTTCTCTACAGCACTGGCTGTCCGTGTGGCCAATTCAACTTGCTCAATTTAACATAGTTGGAGTTGGTAAAGCCCCTGAAGTATATCAAAGTAGTTACATTTTGCATTGTGAAGGGCCCAATGGACAACCTGGGACTATTCAACCAATTATAACTTCTGTACCTATACATTTATGGGGGAGAGATTTATTACAATAATGAGGAGCACAAGTTCTAATTCCAGAACAATTATACAGCCCTCAAAGTCAACATATGACGCATGAAATGGGATATGTCCCGGGTATGGGACTAGAAAAAAATTTGCACGGTTTAAAGGAACTGCTTCAAACGGAAAGACAACGTTCCCGCCAAGGTTTAGGATATCATTTTTGATGGCAGCCATTGTTAAGCCTCCAGAACCTATACCTTTAAAATGGTTAACAGATAAGCCAATTTGGATAGAACAATGGCCGTTGAGTAAAGAGAAACTGGAGGCTTTAGAGGACTTAAAATTGGCCTTTAATAGTCATAGATTTAAAAGACTGTTTCTTTACTATCCCTTTAGCTGAGCAAGACTGTGAACAGTTTGCATTTATAATTCCTGCAGTAAACAACCTGCAGCCTGCTAAGCGTTTTCATTGTTTTACAGATGGGTCTAGTAATGGTAAAGCTTCTTATTCTGGTTCGAAGAGTAAAGTTTTCCAGACACCCTATACTGCAGCTCAAAAAGTGGAGCTTGTAGCTGTAATTGAGGTATCGACTGCTTTTAATATGCCTATTAATGTGATTTCTGATTCTTCATACGTGGTTCATTCCACACAGTTAATTAAAAATGCTCAGTTGCTATTTCATACAGATAAACAACTGATGACAAAAACAAAAAGGGAGGGAAATAGGGATTACGGGATAGCCGATACACAATTGAATCCAGCATTATTAACTTTAAATTTTTTGAGCCTTCCCAAAGGCCAGATGTTATCAGCAGCTGAACAGAATCTACAGAAACCAGCTGCAAAGACAGAAGCATAAGAACTGGTTTGGTGGAGAGATCTGATAACAAAAAGTTGGGAAATAGATAAAATAATAACTTGGGGAAGAGGTTATGCTTGTGTTTCTCCAGGTCAAAATCAACAGCCGATTTGGCTATCATCAAGACACCTGAAACCTTATCATGATCCAGATGCTGAGGAAAGGATTCCGGAAGGATTCTGGGGACGCCTCAGTTGCAGCCATGCTGAGACTGACACTGAGAAGGACCCCAGCTGTCACAAGCAACACCCATTGAACACAGTCACCCACCTGGGGACAGATCAAGAAGCTGTCACAGATGGCAGAAGAAAACCTGAGGAAAGCAGGACAACAGTCACAATGAGTAATTTAATGGTAGCTATGATAGCAGTGATCACCACTGCCACGAGTATTCCTTCAACAAGGGCTGACACAGAGAACAATTATACTTATTGGGCATATTTCTCAATCTTGGCTGGCAACAATGCCTGGATGTAATCACTCTATGACACAGTTATACATGCTTTCTAATCTCAGTATTTACCATAATAAATCTGCTCCTATAATTGAGGCATACCGCCCTCAAAAACCTATTTGTAAACAAAATTGAACCTGGTCAGAAAAAATGAACATACTTATTTAGGAAGGCTGCACTGCAGAACAGGCAGAGGTGCTGCGCAATGTTTCCTACGGAATCACTATTGATTGGTCCCCTAAGGGGATGTTTAGCTTGAATTGCACCTCTCAGTCTGTGTGCCCCGGCCACACTATGTTCAGCTGGTCTGAACAAAATGGTCAGATGATAGAAATGATAAGAAGTAAGGCAAGAGTTCCTATTATCTGGAACCATGGCAGTACAGCGGCACTTCAACCTCAAATGATATGGCCTGTTGTGGGAGCTAAACATCAGGATTTGTGGAAACTATTAATAGCTCTTAATAAGATCAAAATTTAGGAAAGAATAAAAAAGCATCTGGAAAGACACTCTACAAACTTGTCTTTGGATATTGCAAAATTAAAAGAACAAATATTTAAAGCATCCCAGGCACACCTGACCTTAATGCCAGGAACTGGAATGCTTGAAGGAGCTGCAGACAGATTAGCAGCTAATAACCCATTAAAATGGATAAAAATACTTGGAAGCTCTGTGATTTCAATGGTAATTGTGCTTTTAATCTATGTTGTTTGTCTTTGTATAGTCTGCAGATACAGATTCTGACTCCTGCAAGAAGTAGCTCACCGTGACAAAGCTGCCTTTACTTTTATTGCTTTGCAAATCAAAGAAGGGGGGACATGTTGGGAATAGTGACCCCCCCCAATCTGGCCATAAACTGGCCCCAAAACTGGCCATAAATAAAATTTCTGCAGCACTGTGACATGTTCATGATGGCCATGACACCCACGCTGGCAGGTTGTGGGTTTACTAGAATGAGGGCAAGGAACACCTGGCCCACCCAGGGTGGAAAACCGCTTAAAGGCAGTCTTAAACCACAAACAATAGCATGGGCCATCTGTGTCTTAAGGATATGCTCCTCCTGCAGATAACTAGCCAGACCCATCCCTTTATTTTGGCCCATCCCTTTGTTTCCCATAAGGAATCTTTTAGTTAATCTATAATCTATAGAAACAATGCTTATCACTGGCTTGCTGTTAATAAATATGTGGGTAAATCTCTGCTCGAGGCTGTCAGCTCTGAAGGCTGTGAGACCCCTGATTTCCCACTCCACACCTCTATATTTCTATGTGTGTGTCTTTAATTCCTCTAGCGCTGCTGGATTAGGGTCTCCCTGACCCAGCTGGTCTTGGCACACAGAAGTTCAAGTGTTGTCTCTCCATTCATTAATTTATGTTAATATGTGATGTTTTCTCTACAAAATATGTGCTCCCCTAATTGCTCCTTTTGTGTGTTTGTTTTTTGAGACAGAGTCTTGCTCTGCTGCCCAGGCTGGAGTGCAGTGGGGTGATCTTGGCTCACTGCAACCTTTGCCTCCCAGGTTCAAGCGATTCTCGTGCCTCAGCCTCCCGGAGAAGCTGGGACTACAGGTGTGCACCACCTTGCCCGGCTAATTTTTTGTATTTTTAGTAGGGATGGGGCTTCGCCATGTTGTTGCCCAGGCTGGTCTCAAACTCCTGAGCTCAGGCAATCCACCTGCCTCGGCCTCCCAAAGTGCTAAGATTACAGGCATGAGCTACCGTGTGCAGCCCCTAATTGCTCTTTTAAACTGTTATAACGCTATGACTGATCACTCTTAGAAATTATGAGGATAATGACTAGTATTTATTAAATATCCTTTCTCTTCCCATGACCCTCACCCACATCTTCATCTTATTTGCACTGGGACAGTACTTGGAGATCCAGCAACCCATACAAGGTAGGAACAAGAATAGATAGATTAGGAAGGTTTACTGCAACTGTACTGAGCCCAAAGCAATCTTATAAAAGAGGCAGTCAGCAACTCCAACAGCAGTGCCCTTGGGGACATGACGAAGCACTTTCCATTACTTAGTTGCAGTTTCCAAGAAGATCCAGGATATGGTCTGAATGTTTGTTTGTTTTCCCTATTTTTTCCTATATTTACATTAGGTGAAGTCCTAACCACCAAGGTAATGGTATTAAGAGGTGTGGCCTTTGGGGAGTGATTATATCATGACAGCTCCTCCCTCATGATTGGACTTAGTACCCTTATAAAGGATGTTGAAGGGAGCTCTTTTGCTCCTTCTGCCATATGAGGACCTAGCAAAAAGTTAGCTGTTGCAACTCAAAAGAGGGCCCTCACCAGAACCCAACTATGCCAGCACCCTG